TTGTATTGTAATATTTATTGTATATCCGAATAAATTTCTGATACTAATACCAGATATATGTTAATGTTTAATATTTCATGCATAATTTTTAATATAATGTTTAATATTTCCTGCATAATTACATACATAAAGGAATTAATTTTGTGTTGGAACAGTCATCCGTGTTGGCAAGTGCACAGCAGACACACCTACCTTAACGATTTCAATATATTGCTTATCCTGCCCAAAAAGACCATAAACTTCGCAGATAACGTCGGAACTAAAAATGAATTTACATACACATAACATAAAAAAATAATCCTGTGTGACTGATACGCTTCATATCGAATGATTTTAGGTCAGTGTTTGGCTGTCAGTGAATGATGTCCTCTGCCGGTAGGGAATAGTAAGATGGCGGATCGAACACTTCTGGTGGCTTGACAGCCGAATGGCCGTTTAGAACACGAAGAGCAATCCAGTCATTATATAGATCAGTGATATGAATACTACTTTAATATGCATTATACAGATAAAAGATGAAAAGAAAATACCATCTAAACTTTTCAGAAGACAGTCAGTTCCCCTCAGCGATACATTCATATAAACCCCCAATTCAATATTTAGGATTTTCATCCAATATTTCGCACAGTGAAAAGTGAGTCGATCTGTATGGTACAGTATTTTCACCTCTTTGCATTGCGACCTCTGCCAGGCATGAGATGTAATCCTTGTTATTCTTTTATTATTAGGGGCCAAGCACCGAAGGTGCAGTGGCACCTATTGTATCCGTTAGCGTCATTTTTCTTCTTCCGCCGCAAGTCTATGGCAGCCCATAGAACCGCTTGCGGGAAAGTTGTGAAATTTGGCACACTGATAGAGGACAGTCTCAACATTAACCACAGCAAGTTTGGAGTCTCTAACTCCAACTCTCTAGCGCCACCACTTGTCCAAAGTTGCAATTTCTTTATGCTAATAACTTTTGAACTATAAAGCACAAAATGAAAATAATTTTTTCCTCTGAATCCTTGGCTCATGCCGAGTCGAATGAACACCAAAATTCAAAAATCGCAAGGTTTAGTTCTTTCGCTATTTTTAATTGTTCATAAAACCTACTTTTTCGAACTCGTCCTAGACGGTTTGTCTGATTCTCACCAAAATTGGCTCAGATCATCTTCAGACCATGCTGGCAAAAAGTTATGGAATTCAAGTTGATTCGTCCCACCCTTCTCGGATACCAATTTTACCATAATAGACTGAACTTCCTGTCCGCCATTTTGATTCATGTTGAAAACCTACTTTTTCGAACTCCTCCTAGACCGTTAGTCCAATTTTCACCAAATTTGACTCGGATCATCTTCAGACCAAGCTGGCAAAAAGTTATGGATTTCGTGTCGATATACGAAACGGTTTTCGTTTAGCGCATCAACGAATTTGCTGGAAAGATACCAAATTGCATCTGAGGCTGTATGTCTGCGAAACTTTGACATATTTGCACCAACCTTTGTATGTGCCATTGTCACCTCACACTGATCATGCCACATCAATTTGGTAACAGCGCCACCTATTGGTCAAGAGTAATAAACCATTCATTAACCATCAATAATTACATTCATAAAAATGCTAATAACTTTTGATTGCATTAGCCTATTGCAATGAAACTGGTCTCAAAATATTCCTTGGCTTATGCCGACAACAGACATACCAATTTTCCGGTAGCAAATCTGAATTGCTTGTCGGCCATTTTGATTTATGCTGTACACCTACTTTTTTGAGCTCCTCGCCACTCATTGGTCCGATATTCACCAAAATCGAGTCAGATGATCTTCAGACTGTGCGGACAAAATATTATGGATTTCGTGTCGATAAGCGAAACCGTTTTTGTACAGCGCTGCTACAAATTTTATGCATGTTGCCAAAATGATTCTGAGGCTATATCTCTTCAAAGCTTTGACATAATGACAACAAACTTTGTGTGTGCCATTGCCACCTCACACAGAACACACCAAAACTATATGATTGCAGCGCCACCTGTTGGTCAAAAGTGATAAGCCATTTAATCACATTACTAGTGGTTGTATTTATGATTTTTCAGCCATTTCAATTACAATCATCCTAAAATTGCTTTTATTACTCGTTGTATTTGGTCTGATGCTCCATGCCATGCTTAGCTCCTCAATTTGCCTCTGGAGTGCTTGGCCCCATGATTGCTGCTTGCAGCTATATTTATTCTTTTGTTTTTATTCAGCCATTATTCTGGCATTACATGGTTTACCCATCCACATCGCTTTGATCCCAGTACACAATTGCCCACCTAGTGGAAGTTCGTCATCTGAGGCAGGGTGGATTATGAACACATAATATGAGTGACAAATGAGCAGCTAATCATCTTCCTCTGAGTCACAACGGCGATTGCGGAAGAAAAAACACAGACAGACAGCGCTGAAAGCAGCTAATGCTAATCAGATCACATAATTCAGTGGAAAATGAATAGAATGATTTTGTCTAAAGAAATATGAAGTAAACATGTAAATATATCAATATTTCTTTAAGCCCTAATGGACGCTGTTCAGTGAAGCTATGTGAACAAATAAACCACAGCAGATGTGACTGAATATGAATGTGTTGTTATTCTATTCAAAATATCACAAATTACTAGTGGTCGTCCGATGTGTTTTTTGACAGCCGATGCTGATATCTTGGAAAGCAGGGTGGCCGATGGCCGAAATAAAGCAGATATAAATTGTATTTATTTTAAAGGGGTCATATGATGCGATTTCAATTTTTCGTTTCTCTTTGGAGTGTTACAAGCTCTTGGTGCATAAAGAAGATCTGTAAAGTTGCAAAGACTAAAGTCTCAAATCCAAAGAGATATTCTTTATAAAAGTTAAGTCAGCCACGCCTACCTAAAACGGCTAGTTCTAACACGCCCCAACATACCTACGTCGCTATGTGGGAAGATTAGCATAACGCCGCTCCCAAATGTTCACGCAAAGAAAGAAGTCGTAACTTTTATTCTCGCTGTAGTTTTGTTGTTCCCGCCGCCATGTCGTAAAGACACTGTGTGCTTCGATGTGGAAAATAATGTGTTTTTTGAACATTAAACCGCATAAACACATTTCATTACACCAAATACACAAAATACTGTTCTTTTTAGCAGCATTATATGTCCCCTTTAATTAATATTCAAGAAGTTTGAAATCATTTGAAAATGGATTAAAAAATACATGTGTAAAATAAACATACTTATACTTTAGATGAAAACGCATAAAATAAACATACTTATACTCTAGAAGACAAAGTATTTTTCACAAATAAATAAATATTTAATAAAAATACAATTAAAAAGGAAGTAAACACTGTAACCAACAGGGCACTCAGTATTCTGGGAAGTTTGTGTGCATTGGGAATCATATTTTTTCAAATAAAGCCAAGGTAACACTCAGTTTATATGCAGCACACAGTGAAAATTACATGAATATGACAGTAGGCATAAAGTTTGTCGATCGCGCATCTCCAGTCAAGCAGAACTGTCCTCCTGTCAGCATTCAATTTGCATGGACTGACCGTCACGCAGAGAACACGCGATCATGCATGATACAACTGCACAGTTCACAAGATCTCAACTAGATTCGACTAAGTCTGCAAGGTTTGTGAAAATGTGTATTTGCTGAATGCTGACGGCAAACGAGAACGTATTATAATGTTTGCCTTTCTATTACTAATTATATAATACTTTGTATACATTTTAATTATTTTGTCTAACCCTTCCATCAGATTATTAGACAGACTTCTATCCGTATTAGACAGAACTGTTAACAACAACAGCGAACAAGAGGGATAATGTGAGCACTGTTTGTTCAGGCACTGCCGTTCTTCTCAGCGCCGTCAAAATAAAAGTCCTGCCTCGAACGCATCGGCCAATGCCGATATATGAAAAATGTCAAATATCGGCCGATATATCGGTCGACCACTACAAATTACCAAATTATTATTTAGCATTCCTGTCATAAATGAAGAAACTACTGTCACTGCAGCCTTGTTTTATCATAAACAGTTGTCAAATCTCAAAGCTGGAGTCTTAAATCTATCTTAAATTTATAATAATACACAGTTTGTCCAGATCAAGTAGGAGTGTGATGCTTTAACATTCTGTGAATATTGTACAACAATAATCTGGGGTCGCAGGTAATCTTTGCAGGTTAAGTTAACAGGGATCCCCTCTCAATTCACGACGCTATCTACATTGCTTAAGCACTTGTACCAGTATGCCGGTTTTATAAAAATTCATACCATGTGCGTAATTCAAACCGGTTTACCGTATGAACCGGTATATCACCCAGCACTACTTACAACCATCTTCAACACATTACAATATAAACACCATAAAGTAAAGTGTCATAATACACCAACTGAATTTTTTTCTGAAGTTTTGATTTTGTAAAATTACATTCTCTTAACCAAGTTTATTGTTAATTGACTACTATAAGTATGCCATTAATGGATTTATCTCCCCCTAAAAGTGTAAACATTGTGCCTCCCAGGCAACATCATTTAGAGTGGTCTCCTCTGATCCATCTGTCTCTTTTCAGGTCAACCTATAGTGAGAGTTTAGGCCATGGCTACTGTAGCAGGCTGAGCCAGTGGGCATTTAGGTGGTGTGGGACCATGGCTGACGTGTTACATCAGAAAATAAATTGATTTATTTTGTCGGTTACAGTGAAAGTGATGTTTGCTAAGGTTGTTCAAAAACATGCTTTATCTTTGTAATTCCACAATGTGACACTAGAAGTGCAGAAATTGCATATTTCACCTTAAAAGGGCAACTATTATGCAAAATTAACTTTTTACATGGTATTTGAATATAATTGTGTCTGCAGTTTGTGTACACAACCACCCTAAAATTATAAAACTCTTAAACTTTTTAAAGACCCACTGGAAACCTGTCTGTACAACTTTGACTCTACTTAAAGCACAGATATCTACACACAAAAGTAGCTGAATCACTGTGCTGAATGTGGTTTTACCTCAGTAGCTGCTTTTAGCTTCATGCTGATGTACAAGTTTGAGTCCTCTCTGTCTCCCACCTACAACAAACAAACCATCGACATTCAAGTAATGTTTAAAACTTCCACATATTTGCATTTTTAAAAATGCATTTTTGTATTTTTTCCTTTCCTTTTGTCGAGTTGAAGCTTTTGCTTAAGTAATGTGTTTCCCAAGTACTATTATGGTGCGTTCAAGTCATGTCGGATAGATCATATTTACGAGTTGAACACACATGAACGCCACCCCAAAGTCGTTATTACGAGTGGGAAGCTCTAAATTTTCTTTAAGCCCAGAGTTTCCGAGTTGGGGGCGTGTCAATGAGAAACATGGCGGAATCGATGGATGCAACATCTGTAGTTGACGGTAAATTTTTGTTTAAATTGAAAGTTTAGTTGTCCTATAAACTTAAATTGGTCATGTTCTTGTTACGCATGCTAGTTAATGAAATTCAAGTAAAAAAATGCAGACCCTGTTGTATTTTCTTGTAATTTATTAAAAGAAGGTAGACCGCCATCTTGTGCCGACTAAACTGACTTGTCAACTCGTAAGTACGAACGTCCCAGGAGGACTTGAACGCAGCATTACTACTAATAATGATAACAGCAGTGTTTTCCGCATTATGACTTTAGGGTGCATTCATATGCAACTTCTGACCGTGCTTCCCACACATAGACTTTACCTGGGCGGGCCTATGGGTAGAATAATTAACTTAGATCTGAGTAAAGAAATCTATACATATTTTTTTCTGAAGTGTAAAGGTAAAGATGGCCCCCTTAAAATGGGGCAAAAGGCCGACGATTCTCTCCGGCCAATCCGTGATCAGCAGAGTTTACACGTCACGTTTTGGTAACGGTACGGTTCACTTGGAACCTCAACCGAGGTGGTACTAAAGTGATCAGCAGAGTTTACACGTCACGTTTTGGTAACGGTACGGTTCACTTGGAACCTCAACCGAGGTGGTACTAAAAAAAGTACCAGGTACCAGGTACTGTACCCAGTGGAAAACCCCCCAAAAGTGAACCGTACCGAGCCATACCATGCAGTGGAAAAGTGCTATAAGAGAAAAGTATCATGGTGGAGGGGGGTGTGTGTGTGTGTCTGTGTGTATGTACAAATTAAGGACACATTTGTAAGTGAGCTAAACTCTGAAATAAAAAATAATAAAATAAAAACTCATGTTGGGGACATCCTCATTTGTAAAAACAATATATAAAAATAAAATTTTAAAAATTTAAATAAAAATCTAAAATTACATAGGTTATATGTGACGAGTGGGGCGGGGCCAAGAGCCGTGGGAATGGAGTAAGTGATAATGCACGACACCTGCGCCACCACCGGTCTCGAGTCCCACGGAGGAGCTCCGGAAGGATAAAAGGAGGAGTGACGACAGTGCAAGAGGAGAGAGGACCAGGCCTGGACTTTATTTTGTGTTTTGGTTCTGTTTGTGCGCGGCAGTCGTCCGTGAGGGGCTGTCGCGCTATTTTGTGTTTGTTTATTTTATTATTAAATTATGTTTGAATGTTCGCTAATAATTAGTGCAATATAAAAACGGAAGTCATCTATGGAGCATCCCCTATTTAGATCGCTAAGTAAACGTGTGTGTGAGTTTTTGTGATTTATGAGGACACAAATTTGTATAATGACATGGGTATGACATGGGTATTACAACGAGAAGGTGATTTATGAGAACATTTTGAGTGTCCCCGTATTTAAAAAGGCCTATAAATCATTCAGAATGAGCTTTTTTGAAAATCTAAAAATGCAGAAAGTTTCCTGTAAGGAGTAGGTTTAGGTGTAGGGTTTGTGTAGGGCGATAGAAAATACGGTTTGTACAATATAAAAACTATTACGCCTATGGAGAGTCCCTACAATTCACAAAAACAAACCTGTGTGTGTGTGTGTGTGTAAACGTAAATATTTTCTTTGGAATTCATTGTTATTTATGTTGTTGTTATTTAATAATTATTCAGCCTGAGAACAATACTGTAAAGTTTTTAAGTCATCACAACCTAAAACTGAGTGCAATAATTCAGTCTCAATGCACAGTAAGTGTTGCAATACATACATTATATTGTGACATGCTTTCAGGTTTATAAAGTGTTGAATTTAATTGCCTTTCAGATACCTCTCTCTGTAACTATGCTTCTGTACTCTTTATGTCATTATTAAACATTCCATTTCAGTTAATTTATTCAAATTACATTGTCAAAATGCACAATTTTACCAATTTAGTTAGATTTTCCAAAAATAAAATTGTTAGGATTAATTTGGTGTTTAGATAAAATGTTTTGTAAGGTTAGATGAAAGTTGGGTCAAGATGCCAGGGGCTTCTTGCCCCAGGTAGGGGGTCATTTTGCCCCAATAGTGGGGCAAGATGGCCTCCTTTCATAATTTTCATTCTTATGGCATTACAACTAAATTGTAAATTTTTTTCCATTTGATTCCCATAATAGTATGTTGGGTAATGCATAACAATCCTCAGCATGCTAAACTCACTCATATGTAAATTGTTACAGTTTATCAGTATATGGACATTGTTCTTAAAGGGGAATTCTTCCCCCGTCTTACCCTAAATTTTTCCACATATCATGTCCGGGGCTCATAGCTTTGAATTATTTGAAAGCTGCAACTATACTATACTATTTGAGTCTATGGTAGTTAGAAAGACAAAGGTTAGCGTACTAATTTTTCATGCATTTACTCAGCACATGAGTAATCAAAGAAAATACGGCGTGAGAATGAGGTAGGGAGAATAGCACCACAGGTAACTTAGCCACATTAGTGTTTAGCGTGAAATGGCACTAAATAAATGTAAAAGCCTTAATTATTATGTCTCTCACTTAATTTGCAGGGCTCCACAATAAGGACTGTCAGATGGCCAGGGGCCAGTGTGAAAGATGCTCAGGACAGTTAATGCTGCAGTGCTGTCACGAAGGTTTTTCATTTGAACATGTTTTTAAGCCTTATCAATTTAAACATTCAATTGATTTTAAAGTATTTGAGCGCAAGAAGACACAAAAGAACTCAATTCAGTATTTGCGTGCTGTGTTCTGTGTGCACAGCGCACACACAGAGAGCCACACGTCTCTGACAACGCGCGAGCCCCGAATGCAGTTCTCTTTTGCATCTTCTCGCGCTTTAACGGACAAATACACCTGGCCAATTTGAACATTCAAGTAATTTTAAAGTGCCCCTATTATGGATTTTGAAAATTACATTTCATGCAGTGCATAATGCAGCTGTATGTGAATGTAAACAGTCTGCAAAGTTGTAAAGTTGAAAGTGCATCAGTTATTGTCTCTCAAAAGAAAGTCGACTCTGAACCGTTGAAATGAGTCATTTTAAATTCTAATCCCATTCCACGAATTTCACACATCACAAATTCTTACATTTGCATAATGCGCGCCTACGTTCTGCGTGGACATCCTGCAAAAACAAACTTCAAATGCTGTAGCTCCTTCGTGTGGATAACGTAATGTCAAGAAGACGCTGTGCTCTGCTGTGCTTTAGAACAGAGCACTATTATTATTATAATAGGATGTATTATTAATAAGCCGTATTCAAGTTCTGGTGATAGACGTTCCTTTTCCGACATGCGCTGTACGCAGTAGACCAATCACAACAGACTGGGTCATCGGACCAATCAGAGCAAAGTAACATTATGCAAAGGAGGGGTTTAGAAAGATGAATCTTCGAACAAATTGTTTGAAAGTTGTTGAGAAATATCGTAAAATTAAATCTATATTATAAGAAAATGAAAGTGTTTTTTGACCTTGCATGCATGTAAACCTGTTGTTGGGGACTCCCAAAACCAAATTATAAACATTTCAAATAGCATAATAGGGGCACTTCAAAGCTTTCAGACGCAATAAGATGTGAACAACTCAGGCAATGCACAACCCCCAAATTGAGTTTCTTTTCGTGTCTTCTTGTGCCTTAAACAGACAAATACATCCAAAAGTATGTCAGAATACTCGACTTGGCAAGAATACTCAAAAACAGTCAGTTAAGTGAACTTAAACAGCTGACAAAGAAACCGGGTGTGTATCACTATATTGGACCCATGAATTGTGTTTAAAGTGACAGCTCCTAATTTACAAGCTGCTGTTGGTGTCCTTAATGTTAATCCAAAAACAAACAAAAAAAAACAACAGCGAGAGAATCACTTACTGCTCTTGACTGAATAACTTTTGCAGCTTTAACAATTATTAATCTATATTTAATTTATGCAGAAAATAATGTTATTTTACATTTACATATTTTACATTTGATTATTCTTATACTTTTTTGTACACCTACAAACCTAAAAGCATAAAGCATCGTTTAATTTTTATCTTTGTTTTATTTATTTATTATGTGCTATTGCTTGTATGTTCATTTGTTCTTATTTACAGAGTGTTTACTTGTTCACATGGAATTGAGAATTGTAAAATTGAAGTGGCATCAAATATTTGTGTTATATAAGCTTATTTATTAAAATACAAGATAACATGAGTCAAAAACTATGACAACAAAAACTATTTTATTTTTTGTAGCAGGGCCAGTGAAAATGTTGGCAGGGCAAGTAAAAATTTGAACGACTGGCCTAACCGGGTCAGTAAAAAAAAATCCCTAGCGTTAAGCCCTGATTTGACATGAAATTTCAATAGCCATCAACAATGAAAAAAATGCAGAGAGAAAACTAAGATCCAACGTTAGTTAGAACGTTAGTATTTGGTTCCTGTTTGGTTATCTTATGTATTTATTTATTTATCTTTAAACCAAACAATAATGTTCTAGGAATGTTCTTTTTAGGTTTTATATTTTGCAACCATAAAATAATGTTCCCAGAACATTGCAGGGAGGTTATTTGTAAATAACCTAAAAACAACTTATAAAGAATGTTCCCTAATGGTTATTTTTGTGCTGTGGGTAATAGGAGGATTTTCCACCTGGCTACCACTGCAAGTATATTTCAAACCTGTGGGAAGCACTGTCCGAGTAGGCTAACATATGCAATTATAAGAGGAGAGTTTAAACAGAACTTCAGACTGACTGGAAATATCATCTACATTAAAAGTTTACACATTTTCATTAAATCACAGACCAACAAATTTGCACAATTGCGATTAGAAAAAACCCTTTTAATTATAAAAGATTAAAAAATTGAAAAAGCAAAATATAAAATACATTTACTCAAAAATAAAAAAGCATAAACAGTCTTTAAGGCAATAAAAATATAAAATGAACTGTCAAATATGCATACAGCAACGAATCATTTATTGGTCAAGTGCAAAATAGAACTACTACCATCATTTTCATCAATATTTCAGAAATGATTAACTGTCATTCATAGACAGGTTACCACTAACCTGTAACACCACCAGGCCTGGTTTGAAATTGGGATGAGTCATTCTCATGCCTTCCACCTCTTCTTTCAGCCTCCCTCTTACCTGACTGGAGAAACAAGGATTCAAAATGAGTTGTGCAAGTCATGGTGCAACAAAAGTAGGCTACACTCTGACATATACACATACTGGACCCTTTTTACAAGACTGTGATGATGCGTTTAACGGTCATCAGCATCGTAAATCCTCGAAAGTTTTTCATATTTGTATTTTTTTTTTTATTGTATGTACATTTATAACACTATTCTTTGTATTATCACCTTTGCCCCAAATTACAAAAAAAAAAAAAAAGTTAATGCTAATGCGAGGGTGTTTCTAATGCAGCGTCTATGGGAGGGATGGTAAATTTGACATCGTTCTCTCTTCTGACTGCCGTTATCAGTCTCTCAGTTTTTTCCTTTTATTGAAAGTCATGAACACTATCGTGGAGTTTTTCTTTTGCTATTTGAGCAAATGGGAATGCAAAAAATATATTTGTGGTACTCTCCTTTTCACTGATCTTCAAGTTAACCCAACTATGACGACTTCTGCTGCTGAGAAACAAGGAAATGTGAAAAAGGTCCCTTATGATATCAAGTTGAGCTTCTTTCTCTCAAACCTATTACATCATACATTTTATATTAATTAATAATAGAGACGTGTCAGACTAGACAACTAAATGGTATGGCTGCTGATAGTCGGTATTGAAAATACACTGCTAAAAAAAAATGAAGGGAGCACTTAAATCACAGTATAACACAAAATCAACTAAACTTCAGGGATACCGATCTGTCCTGTTAGAAAGCATACGTTTGAATCAGTTTCACATGCTTTGGTTAAAATTAAAGTGACAACAGGTACACTGGAGAGGCAACAGCAAAACAAGCCCCACCAAAGGAATTGGTTTTGCAGGTGGTGGTAGTGGTAGGGGTGTGCAATATTAACAAAAAAAAGCCTTCTCATTTTTGGGAATAATGACACAATATTTTGCTATGTTTTTGTGCAGATTTAGGTCTGTCATGAACAGCTCCCAAAGCTTTTAATATTCTTCATATTCTGTGGTTATTCAGTTCAGATCAATGGCTGTCTTGACAAGTACCCACGTAAACAGTCTGCTCTTTAACATAACAATTGCACATTACTACTTTTTACAGTGAGGTAAACGCTTAACATAAAACTTTTCACTTTGCATTCATATTTTGGGCTCTTCTACAGAGTTTGAACTTTAAATATCACTCTTAATGCATAAGCCACGTTAAGCGTAAAAATATCCACTCCGATCACGGTGCCCTTGTCAAGTGAAATGTGAGCAAAAACAGATTTTCACTGGTTGTTGTTTTAGAACATTAAGTCACGTTAAGAGTTGTTCACATGCTTTTCCACTCCACTTCACAACCTTTGCGCTCACGTCTCATGTCTTTTGCGTTTTTTTTTTTTTCTAAATTCCACTCCCGCGTCTTGCGTCTTGCAAAAATGCGTTCTGTGTGATTTTAGAATGTCCTGCGATGGGGCCCACCAAAGGGTTAGGGGGTGCTGCGGGGGCCTCCCGTACACTAGGGCTGAATGATTTTGGAAAATAATCTAATTGCGATCGCCAGGTAGACCTTAATGGTGGAAAAAGACCTGCCTTTATCCATAAGGTCTTGCAAAAAACACAAAATATCAGGAACTGAGCACTGATATGATGTGAGACGACGCCCATCACACCACCCTTCAAACACCTGCCACTTACAGCCATATAAGGACCGAGTAGACACGGCCCTGGCATTCTGTATAGTAGCAACCACACGCGGGGGAAGCCCTAGCGCGTTTAAGTTTGTCCTCTCACGGGCCAGGCCCAGAGAGCCACCCTGTCCGGGTGTGGGTGATAAATCTCCCCGTTCGCTTGAGATAATAGATCTGTGTGGAGGGGGAGGCACCATGGTTGGGCATATAACAGAGGAGACAGGCCCTTCTCTCTCACCTGGCCAGTGTTGGAGTTATCAGGCACAGAGGAGGAAAAGCATACAGCAGCACTTTGGGCCATGGGTGGGCCAGTACGTCGACCCCGAGGGGTGCGTCCACGTCCTTTAGCAAGAAGAACATAGGACAATGGCTGTTTTCGCGCGAGGCGAATAGATCTACGGTTGCCTGTCCGAATCTCATCCATATCAAGCCCTCTATCTGAGGGTGAAGGCGCCAATCTCCGTAGAGTGGGTTCCCCCTCGATAGAAGGTCCGCGCCTCTGTTCAGAATGCCTGGAACATGAGTCGCGCGTAACGACAGGAAAAACCGCCTGCTCCACACTAAAAGCTTGTGAGCTAGAGCGTGAAGTTTCGATGAGCGCAAACCGCCCTGGCGATTGATATATGCTACCGCTGTGGTATTGTCGCAGCGTACGAGCACATGATGCCCCTGCAGGCGAGGCAGAAAATAATTCAGAGCTTTCCATATGGTCATAAGCTCTAAATAATTTATGTGCACTGAACGTAGTCTGCTCGGCCACAAACCGTTCACCGTTCTGCCCTCCTGGGTGGCACCCCAGCCTGTTAGGGACGCATCTGTCGTCACGACTTTCCGCAACATCACCGTCCCCAAAGGAGTTCCCTGTGCGTAAAAGCCAGGGAGCTCTGTCTCTCCAGTGGTGCAGAGCGGCAGAGATCGCGTAACGGGCTGAAATGTAGTGACAAAAACCATTTCATGAACGCCCTCATTCTCAGAAGTCCCAGAGGCAAAACCTGGATAGATTGAAGCCATTAGACCCTGCAGTTTGAGACCTGTGCGATATTGCACTTTCGCTCTTGAGAGAGACGCGCTCGCATGGAGACTGAGCTCAGCTCCAAGCCCAGGAAAATCACACTCTGACTGGGTGTAAGGTTGCTTTTGTTCAAATTCACCCTGAACCCGAGAGATGTGATGTGAGTGAGCACACGACGGGTGCCCTGCAGTACTTTCATCTTCGATTCGGCTATGATGAGCCAATCGTCCAAGTATGTCAAAATCCGCAGACCTGACATTTTCAGAGGAGCTAAGCCTGCCCCCACACACAGAGAAAAAGTCCTTGGGCTTAGGGCGAGTTTGTTGCGGGGCCTTTCCATGCTCTGATGGAAATTTCGTCCCGTGACAGGAGGGTTAGGCAAACGCGCAGGGGGCACCTGGCATGTGACCGCCTTCCTAGGAAGGCATAACTTGAAGGCCTCGTCCTCCTTGTCGTCGTAACGTTGCTGCATCAATCCGACGGCGGGACCAAAGAGAGCCCGGCCGGGCTCAACCGAAGCGCCCGTGATGCGCCTCTTCTCACTGTCGGGGAGGCCTGACAGGTTAAGCCAGAGGGCACGCTCTCCCACCACAGAAAGCGCCATGGAGCGCTCCCGCAGGCTTGGACGGCCTGACGGGCATTGCGGAGGACGAGGTCATTGACAGTGACGATCTCCTTCCACAAGGTTGGAGAGGGAGCTCCTTTGTCCAGCTGCTGCCCTAAATCGTCCAAAATCTCCGCTTGGTAAGCGGAGAGGAGAGATGAAACGTTTAGGGCCCTGACAGCCAAGGCCGAGGATTTGTAAGCGGCCTGGTGAATTGAGGCAGAAAAACGGTCCATTTTATTGGGCAAAACCGGCTTCGGGGGAGCGAGCAGCCCGCCGTGGACGGGGTTAAGGTGCCTGGCAACAGAGGGCTCAATGGCAGAGGAATCACCCATGCCATGAGCTCCCATATCCTTCACCTCGAGGTCCGTGAGACCGTGTTTAAGATCGAGCGGATCGCCCCAATTGTGTCTCATGTGCTTAGCGCACGCTGGGAGGACGGGACAGAGT